GTTCGTTGATTAGCGTTTGTTTTAGCGCCGATTGTTGAAGTTAAGTGTATCGTAAAGTTATATTCGGAAAGAATAAACCAGTTTTATTAAGTAAAGACTTGTGTCGTTAAAGTTTCGTCGGAAACGAAGTTACGGAAAGTTAATTAACAAACGGAGACGTAACACTGTATATAAGCAGGCAAATAAAGCGAGATAATTAATTGAATAGCAGACAGGTAGATAGAGACAGATAATCGAGTCAAGCCGTAAGTAAAATGTGTAAATCATTGTGAATTATAGCGTGTGTTCAAGTTAAAGTGACTGTGGAAATTCTGTGTATTGCAAAGTTGTATTTAGAAAGAATAAACTAGTTTTATTTAAGAAAGGACTTGTATCGCTGAAGTTCCTCGGGAAGAATTTTTACGGGAAATTATCAAACAAACAGAGACGTAACAATATGTTTGAAGGTCACTGCACACCACTCTGTATCATAATAAACATACTTTAGTAACACTTACATTATAAATGCATTGTGTACAATAAATAGCGACTGGGGTAACAAACGTGTGACAAGAACCACTACTGAGTATTCTGATTGGAAATTTGTTTATCGAAAAACTATCTTCCTAAACAAACAACTATTATTTCAACATGTTCAAGTCAATGTTTTATTCTCTAACTTATTATTAAGCTATATTTTACTCTTTTTTAAATTAAAAACCAGGAATAATGTAGAAATAAGTATATCTAAAATGTATTTTTACATGAATGGAACCACAAGATCTGAAGACAAACTATCCTATTTTCCATAGTGCTTTACAGTACGTATTTTCTATGCATTTTTGTTTATAACACAAATACTGACTCTGCAGCACCCCTCTAGTTCAAAGTCTGAGCGAAGAAGACTAACTCAGTTGTAAGGGCAACAATACGGAAAGATCTAGTCACGTGACACACTATTCTTTCGATGTTAAATTCCCTTCTCATTGTCTCAAGTACAAGCAATTAAACTCTTCGCACTAGATGACGTCACAAGTTACTTAATCGTTCCTCGTGATTATTTACGAAAATAAATAATAATATAAGAAACTTGTTTGAAAGAGAAAAGTGAAACGAACTGCACACTTAAATGTGTATTTAGGTAAACGCTAGCAGATAACTGATAGTTACTGATACTTCCTAAACGCGGGTGTCATCAGGTCACCACGTTCTTTGAATTCATGACGTCACTCCTGGCATCATTTCCAGGCGCTGCATTTAAGTGAAAGTTATGTATGGATGAAAAAAGACGTTTGACTAATTTAGAAATCCACAAAATTTATATTAACTACTTTTTGCATCTCATTTAAACACTGGTGTTTTCCCACAGTTGACAATACCGAATTTAAATGCCGCCATTAAATTCGTAAAAAGAACTATTTGTTGTTTGTGTGCGTTGTGGAGGAATTTTATCAGTCACGTGCTGCCATAAGGCGAATTGTCCAGTTGGCTACAAGTATGGAGTGCATGTTACAGATAAATCATGTTTGTTGGGGAAAGGCTAACATCATCGGCGATACTGTCTGTAGTTACAAGTGTACGTGAGTAAAGTTAATCAGTTTATTACTTTATTAGTTAATTAAAAATTCAGTAAGTCCCGGAGATAGGTTTGTGAGTTTTAAATAATAAAAAGAAAACGTTTGAAAGCTTAAACTGTTAAACTTAAGGTAAAACTGTTGTTCATAATTTATTAATGGAAAATCGACAAATTAGAAAAAAAAGTTTGTGACTGTATCTTGTTAAACATTAAGTTACAAAGATTCCGGGTTATCTTACTTATCTTTTATGTAGTTTATTATGATATCTTTTTGTAGAAAAATACTCTTTTTCTTTTTTTTATAAGTAACAACACCAGAAAATATTTCAGATATGCTGTTATTTTACATTTTATCCATTTTTTATTATTTATCAAATATATAGTTTCATAAAGCACAAAAGTTGGCTAATTCCTAGCTCAAATATAGAGAAAAAGTGTTGTAATTTTTGGTGTATACTGGACTGTTATACACAATATAACAGTTTAAAAACTGTTTACCCACCAATGATTCAGTGGTAACCATGAGAAACTCCAAGTTTAAATTGCTCAGCGGCAAGCTTGAATGCTTATAATGCTAAATTTTACGGTTTGATCCTTGCGGTGAGCACAGGGCAAAAAGTATGTTGTTTAGCTTTGCCCTTAAAGTTAAACAATACGATCGACACAATTTTTTCATCCTGTCCGGATTGTAAAATATCAAAATATTACCTCATAAAATTGTAGCTATTACTCGATTTTAAATGCCTTGACACAACAAAAGATACAGTTTATATATTATAATCATAACAGACCTTATAAAATATTTAAACAATTCCATTGAGCGAATTAAAAAAATGAAATTACACCTAGCCCTAAGATTTACAGCATATAACCATACCAAACAAAACATACAGCTACGTTGAGCTAAGCGTCATACATTCTACAGTAATCAAACCTGTTTTTAGGAAAGGAGTATTATATTCTAAACACTAAAAGTTTTGATTTATTTGAAAACATATCTTAATGATATCTTTTGTGGAAAAATCAAATAATCAATCAATCAAATTGGATCTAAATGAACCAACAGATTGATGGAGAGAATAAAAATGACATTCTTCAATCTACTATTATTATTATTAATACCCACCCTCCGCCTAAGTGTGAGCGGTATAACTTGAATAATGCGTGGGGTAGGCTGCTGCCGGCTGCCTTCCCTGTGGTTAAGTAGTTAAAATTACGGACGGTAGCTTTGCCATATATACAAAATAAAAAATACAAGTTAATCTGATATAGATTTCATTTCTTCCAAAGGCTGTCCCCTCCCACCAAAAAAACACATCAAGTGGTTAACTTTTAGTAAATTGTCAAGGTCAAACTGAATGTCAACTAATTTCGTTATGATGATAGTCGCTGTTGTCAAAAGCGGTTAGAACTTGAGAACAAATTGAGACAAGATAATTAAAAATTGTTACTGTAAAATGGAGAATAGGGATCGTCAAAAATGTACAGAAACAAGTTAAAATAAAATATATTTTCAAGCCTACAATTAGGGACTCTAAAAAAGTAAACAAACTAGGCTGTAAATAGTGTCTACGTTATTTTCTCAAGCTACAAATCCCTATTGGACATGGAAGACGTGTCCTAGTTCCAACGATTACGATATAAAAAAGTTCACTTTACTATGTAACATATATTAAAGTACTGGACAGTTTACAAACGTATAATGCTTACATGATCAGCATCTAAAAAACCTTCGTGAGGCTATATTCTTCAATAAAGGTTTTCTAGTGGATATAAAGTTTTTCCTTTTTAGAAATATGCTGTTCTCCAACTTAGTGATAAAAACAGTAAAATTTGTAATATTAATTAGTATTTCATAATTGAAACAGAAATAACGTGAATTAAAAGCACTCCACGTAATTATAAAAGTGTCGTATTAATGATAATAATAAAAACAGTATATAAAGTATGGATAAATGTTAAGAAATGACGTAAGCATGTGCCTGCTTCCTTGAACTTAGTGAGTACTTATAACCCAAATTAGACCTTTGAAACTTGTTGCAGACGATGTTGAACGTTAGAAGTAACATCTGTTACGGTGTTGAGATAGAATCGCCGCAAAATTTTTCTTGTACAAACAAATCAATGAAGGATACTTTTTTGTTATATGATCAAACTTAGTATTTTGGTGGTGTAATGTGTGAAAGAGTTGGACAACATACAATAAGCTTTGTAAATTACTTACCAAAAAATATCAAAGTGATAATGAATGGAATTAATTTTTTAAATGTTTCAAGAGTGCCCTTTACTGGGCTTTCTTTACTTACACCTACAGGTTCGAGTAGAGGCATGTATAGAACTACTTAAAGTGTTAACTTTTGCAGTATTAGGCTACTATAAGAAATCCCCTGCAATAAGAATTTCAACTTGTATAAACATATTTTTTATGCATTTTGAGTACTGAAAGGAGTGTTGTCCTGGAACCTCATTTTAAATTTTAGTTGTTTTCCTATAAACTTAAAAATTACACCAAATTATCACCAATTTCTAAGATTTTAATAAAATTTGTTACAAGGAAGCAAAGTAAACATCAGTAAACTTCAAAACTCTAGAATGTAACGACCTCGAACTTAGCAGAACAATTTTAAAAAATGCTTATCAACAAAATACAGATTTATCTGATTAACTTACAAACTTGGGTAAATATCTAAACAGGAAAAACATGTAACATCAGTGGTGCGAAGAAGAAGTTGACATCAGAATGACGATCACTTACTCTCTGGAAGTCTCCAGCGCTCGATTCTGTGGCTTCACCAACTTGTTGTTAAGATGGAAAGGGAGTATCTACAAATTTCTTTGGAGAGAAGTAATAATTTTCTTAGTGTGTTATTATGCTCTTAGTGCACTGTATCGGTACATTTTGAGAGGAGCAGAAAAAAGGTATATAGTTTTTATTTTTTTGTTATTGTTAGAGATTTTATTTACAGTTAGGCTTGTTTGTTTGATAAAGTTTGTTAGCAAAACCAGAGTGAAATTAGGTAACAAGGCTTGTTAAACCTAATACTGTTGCACACTGTGATTTTCAACAATCTATTATGTTTTTGTTGTATTCAATAAAGCATTAAAATACAGCTAACTGTACATCGAGTGAAAGATTGACTCGAATATGCATCCAAATAAAATGCTACGTGATTTAATTATAAGATGTGTTCAATGACGGAAAAGTTACGCGTGTTATATCAATACCATCTGAAGCTTGACTTGAGAATGAAAGAAGATGTCAAGTGTGTTCTCCTAATTTACTTTTATGTGGTATTAAATATTCGTTCTCACAGCAGTGAACTTCATATGTAATATACATGACCATCTTTTTGGAAAGTGGAGTGGGGGAGGCAAAATAAAACTAAGTCAATTTAACGTAGCTTTAAATATTAGTGTATGTACACAAATTGGAAAAAATGGGGGGGGGGTGTTCTACCCTGTGTGTTAGGCGCTTATGGTAATGTGCACATTAAGTAATAGCTATAAATGAAAAAGTATAAGCCATATGAAAAAACAACAACATATACAAGAGTTATAAACAATTATAAATACCCTTAATTAGAATAGACCATAAAACCACGCCTGGGGTAACATGCATAATCTTCATTCATTGATATAATTGTAAAACAATTGAATTTTATCTACCAAAGAAGTTTTGAAAGTCACTGATAGTTTCAGTCTTATTTTCACGTAAAATAAAATAAAAAAATTAATTTTTAGATCGCTTAATTTTCCTAAGCTTAATTAATAGAAAATGGTAAGAACATCATATTAATGTTAAAAGTTATATAGAAGAGATTTAATAGAGGTAAACTGTTTTGTTGATTTTTATCATAAATGCTACGTTTATTTTAATGTGTTGATATCATGTATAAATTATTTTTGTAGCATTTTATGGTGAAATGAGGAGGAAAATAACGACAGTTTTGTGTGATGTTTATATTAGCTATATATGCATCTGATGTTGATGTTTTTAGTGAAGAGATACAAAACTAATACCAGATATGGTGAAAAAGTTTTATTCATCTTATATCTTGTGGGAACTAATATTACGTTTACATCGACAAACAAATCTCGAGGAGTTTTGATGGAATTACAGAGGTACAGTAACTTTGAAGGTGTAAAGTCTGTTTTAAATTATCTACCTTAAAATACTGCAGTACATATGAGCTCGCCTCTACTTTGTTTTGGATCGAATTATTTTGGATGGATAAAAGCAAAAAAAATGATATATATAATAACCACTTATTTCAAATGGAAATTTCGTATTAGCATAAACATTGGCATTTTACTGCAATATTTATGAAAAGCGACTTGTTTGTGACATTGAACTTGTCATCCTGTGAAGCTCATGTGAATAATATTATGGTATTGTGCCAAATTTAATTATTATTCGGTATTGTACAGTGGGTGATATTTTTGATGATATTACAGATTACTTTTCACCAAAGTTAAATTGAAAATATAATCTGTGACCTAGAGGACTAATATATTAGGCCTCTACGTGACAGATAAAATTTTAAATTTTACCTTTTGTGAAAAAAAAAAAATCAAAGAAATAATATGCTGTGGAATGTTATAAGACTTTTTATGACGTCGACCACTGTAAAATATGCCATCAAAATAAATATTAACGTTGTTATTGACAGAAAGCTGGCAATTTCGAGGTCGTTCCTCTGAATCGGTAAAACAAACATTAAAGCATCTGACCAAAGCTAACGTTACAGCTTACATCGATGTACCTATACAATAAAATGTGGAATACATTTAACAAGTAATCTCTGACACAACGGCAGTAGAAATGGTAGGGCACTTTGTAGGAATCATATCCGGCATTTAATCTTTTTTTCTTTAAAATCTACAGGAATACGTGTTGTCTTACGAGGAATTCAGATGGACACCGATCTTTTATTGGATAACATTCAAAGAAGTTATGATCGGTTTTTGTCAGTAGAGTTTGGTGATTTTTTTTATCCTAATTCAACCAGTAGTCATGGCACGGTTGTAATATATTAGCAATGGAAAATTCATCATTCCTGAACTTTCTGTGAAACCTGCGAGGAACTGTTGAGACAACGAGCCCAAAATGTTTGTGTTTTTTCTTGTCAAGCTAGAAACAAAGTCGGATTCAAAGCCAACCCACAAATGTCGAGATGTTACAAGTATCGCAGGTGTGGATGCAATCACGATAGCACGTTAGTTGCTCAAAAAGTAAACCGTAAAAGAGTTCAAAGAAGCTTTGACAGAGGAAGTGCTGTAAGCGTCCAAAGAGAAGTACATCTGCGTACAGGAGTGGTAAACTTACGGATGTATCCGACGACTTGCCCTTAAATGAGGAAGGAAGCGAAGACGATTCGGCATGATATGGATCTTGATGATGCGAAGGAGGAAGACAATTCAAGATCATGTAAGGAGCATAGGATACGAAGACTTTTCTGGGTGAAGTATAAGAATATTACAAGGATAAAATAACAGAGGCGTACTAAAATAATGGCGAAATAGCATGAACATGGTGTTCAGGTTGTCCACCTTGGTAAGATAAAAACTGCTCGGATAAAAGAAAACAGCCCCACAAAATGATCCTTGGATCGTGACCTACACTGCCAGTATCTCACTTTCAGGATTCTGGATTTTAGGATTCTACCTACCAAAATAGTTATATTTTCTGCCGTTGGGTCAGAGATTGCTTGTTAAAATCACAGTGCACATTGCATCTTCTGTCCAATAATTTCATAGGCTTATAATGAACATATAAGTAATTATATGGAATACATTTGGTGTAATAAAGGTTATCTACCATACTCTTATTTCTACTTCTAACATTATAATTCCACCATTCAAACATACATCCGGTATATCAGTAGCCCCAATTATTGTCCACACTGGGCCACTTCAGATGATGGACATAAAGCCAAGGACCGGGCCTAAGCTTGTCGGTGAATATTTTATTCCTCAAATCCACTTTACTTAATCTTGAGTATTATAACGATTAACAGTGAGACATCTGATTAAAATGTGAGACGTGAATCAGGCTTTGGAGGACCTCATATGGCCCGTAAGCCGCCTATTGGGGACCATACAATATATAGTTAGCCCAATTCCATAATTACACCTGGACCAGATCATCTTTTGTAACTCAATACTCTAGAAGAAAAAAGGCCTGATTTTTTAAACCATTTATCATAGTTAAGTAAGTTAATGAGATGTTGTTCGAATGGCTTGTATCTATTCTCTCCCTCCCCCCATTTTTTGGGGGGAGGCATACTAGTTTTTGCTTGTGCGATAATAATGTTCCCATTCAATGCAAATGATAACCTAAAAGTGGCCTTCTCAGAGTCTTGAAACAAGTTTAAAATTACCCGCATATTAAATTTTTAGATGTTTGTTTCAAAGTGCCCCTCCCCCAGTGGCTGAGTGATAAATCTGAAGACTTGTAATACTAAAACACCGGATTTCGATACTCGTGATGGGCACAGATAACCCATTATGTAGCTTTGCGCTTAACGTCAAATAAAATTTTAAACTGTACCACATAATTCAAGAAATAAGCAAACATATTTTTCTTCTGTTGTTTATTCTTTAGCCAATATACAGAGTTGCATTCTGAAATGACCAAATCAATGAAGCGTGGCCTATTTATCCCTTTGTTTAAATTTTAGAGTTTTACCGAACCAATTTTATTATAGGACTTACTCAAATTCGGGAACGTGTATTTTTATAGCCCCTGGCGTCGAACAAATATTATAACATTTTAATATAAATACGTTAAAGTTAAGTGGTATTATGATCTACATTCTGCGTAGAGTTTAAGTATCTTGGATGTACTTTATCAAAATAGCAGTGATAAAAAGTGTACATATGTGTGTGTGTGTGTGTGTGTGGCTATATATATATCATAAAGGCAGATTTGGTTGATAATAGAAATTTTTCAAGAAATAATTTAAGACTAGATTCCAAGAAAACACCTTTTTTTTTTCTCGGTGTTCTACATGTAGAGCATTTTCCAAGAAACATTTTAACCCATGTGAATAAGCTTTAACGTTGAAACATGTAAGAATGGGTTTGAAGAGAAAACATCAACAAACAATATGATGTATTTGTGTTGAAAATTAAGAACACGCGTTTCACAAAAAGAATGAAAAATTGCATAACATTAACAAAATATTTTGAAGTTAGTAATTAGAAAAAGTATTTTCTCAATTTTATAGTATTTCTCATGTTGTTGTGGCATGCATATTCTTAATGTTTTAAATATTTTAAGTAAAGCCATTAGTGTAATAAAAAAGCTTTAATAGCAAAATGAATCAATGTCCAAAGACTCAATATTAACTTGTATTTATTAGGATGAAATTTACAAAATAATAAAAAAAGAAAAACACAGGATGAAGACAACCTTCGCTACTGCCAAACTGTTAAGCTTATTTCAAATATCTTGAAGCAAAATAGTCACAGCAGGAACTTCAGAATGTTTGTTTAACCAAACAGTCCAAGTACACAGTTAAAGACATGTGATTGTAGGAAAACTTTAAACCTTCTTTCATCACAGTACTTCCCGTGAAATTTCATTCAAAAATGATTGATTTTCTTCAGCATGAAACCATTTTTAGTGTTTCAGTAGTATGTTTTAAAATTTCTCATGAATCTCTCTAGAAAATAATGAAAGAAGGATTGGTCTATGCATTATTAATAAAGTTATCAATGTTCTTATATGTTTGGAGTTTAAAGGATCTCCGTCAGGATTTCGGTTAAGAGGACATAAGCTTTCCACAGCAGCATTCATTAACCACCATATAAAACGTTATTATCAGATGATGTCGAGTCTGTCTCTGCTCCACCGACTGAATTAAATGTTTAACCGCGGCTGAGCGGTTCTGAGTTTGTTTTTCAAGTACAAACTTTTAACTCGTAGCTCCGTTATGTCATGACCGATTTGAAATCTAATTACAGTTTGGGACTCAGAAGGCCAAACCCTTTCGATTGATGTATTTGACCACGCCAAAGGTCTCTTATATATATTTACTCTAATCCTGCCAAAAGAATTTAAATTTGAGAGTAGGCTGGTAGAGATCCTGATGAGTAATAAAATCGAAGTGGGTATAGGCGCGCCCCACGCTTGGTATTGCTGGCGCACAAAAATATAGCTGATAAAAAGGGAAACAAAGGTTTCATAGATTAATTTATTCTAATCGTGCCTAGAAGAACTTCAAATGCCGTGGCTATTGAGGATTTTCTCTTGTTTTCTCAGAGTTTTTAAAAACATACAATATTACTAACTGAATTTAATATATTGTTACGTCTCCGTTTGTTAATTGATTTTTCCGTAACTTCGTTCCGACGAAACTTTAACGACACAAGTCTTTACTAAATAAAACTGGTTTATTTTTTCCGAATATAACTTTACGATACACTTAATTTCAATATTCGCGCTAAAACAAAGACTATAACGAACGAACGTTAACTTCAACAATACCCTGTGACTGCAGTTCAATTACTCACTATCTACACACACATTATTGTCCCGTCACGTTGTCACCCTCTTTTATATACCAGGCTACCCTATAACTAGTAAATGCTAGAGCATTCGCCAAGGTACAGGATAGTTCTAGAAAATAGGTGGCGCCACACCTGTCACGTGACCTCGATGACGCAACAATATTTTCCTTAATTTCATAATTCAGTAGTTTGTGTGGTAATGGATTTACATTTCCCCCTCCTTTATAATATATAAGTAATAGCTTATTATGTTTAATTTAATGGAATTGATCATTTTGTATTTATGATGATCAAAAAGACACTTCAATATAGTAACCGTAATGGTTTTGTCATATAAACAATGGTAACTGAATCTACAAATTAGAGTTAAAATAATACCTATTATTTTAAGGATATCGGAAAAGACGAAGAAGTATCATCAAGGCCTGACTACAAATGCCTAACCATTTTTTTTTTTTTTTTACTAGTAACAGAGAATGCTGAAGTCTTTATCGCAAGTTGTTCCATTGCACATGTTGTTGAACTTAAGTGTATGTAAATACTGAGAAGATTTCTTCGTTCGATTTGAGATGTTCTTTGATTCAAACCGCTAGGTGGCGTACCGTGGAACCAGTATAAACCTGTTCACAATAGGTACAAGTAAATTTGTAAACAACGCATAACCGCAATAGCGTTCGAGTCAAATATTTCACCTTGATAAAACTTTTAATGTGTAATTCTGTTTCAAGAATAAATTTCATTTTTGAGTCACTTTACAGAGCTTTTAAAATAAGTACAAAAATGACATTCCATCTAGAGCTTGATAACATCAAGAATTATTCCTAAGAACAGTTAGCAAAATTATGGAGAAATACTATCTAAACACTAGTGTTTACAGACATAAATCATTTCTAAAAATAATATTACTGTTTATAGATTTTTGGAATAAAGAAAATATACTGAACATTTTAAAACCTTCGTATCCGCAAATTTCGCTGAAAATCATCTATACACATTAATTACTCTTTAAACGTTATTTACAAGGTGAAAGATTCTATTCCAACACTATGGCGGTCATACATTGTTTAAAAATGTACATTTACCTGTTGTAAACAGGTTTATATTTCCACCTAGCGGCTCGAATCAAAGGACATACCAATCCGAACGAAGTAAATTATCCTACTGTTTACATATACTTCCATCAACTTGTGTAACGGGACACTTTGCGATGAAGACTTGGAAAATTTGGAACGAGGCTTTAACAATGTGTCTGTGTCGTTTTCGAAATGTTAACCAAATCTTTGAATTTTTCTATTTGGTCTTATAACATTTGTATCTCTTCTTCTTTTTTAAATGTCCTAGATATTGTTACCTCGAGAATATTTAAAAATACAAAACAAACTTAAGATGTAAAAAAGGTTGGTTTGAAAAGTTCAAGATTAACAAAAACTAACCTTAAGTGCTAATTTTGAAGTAATGAAAAACTACTGAATGAAGTTCAAAAGATCTGCTTTTGCGGCAAAAATCTAGACATCCGTAATATCCGAAAAAATCAAATCTAGGGTATGTGGATAATATCCATACATTTCATCAGCTTGAAATGTAGTTTATGACTATTGAATAATTGTTTGTTATTGTCAGAAAATTATAATTCAGATATAATTTAGCGTAAGGGAGCATCCATAAAATGTGACTCAAAAAGCGTACGTGGTGGGAGGGGGTCGACAAAAGTATACGTACACTTTTTGAGAAATATGAACAACCTTTTGTGTTTTTCGTAAGGCAAATAACAGACCACTTTTTCTGTTTTCTGGATTTTACATTTTAGTTACTTTTATAATAATAAATTGAAATATACATAAACATATTTTAGTACTTATCTTTAACTTCTTTTTTTGCTTGCCTGCAGAAGAAACTTTAACCCTTGTCTTATTTTATAAAGGTTGTACAAGTACATCAAATATTGACATCATATAGGGGTGGTATGAAAGTAGAAAATGCGCAAATTGGAGCGAACAAGTGTCGATTTATTTAAATATTCTAGTTGAGATTAAGAAATTTAAACGAATTGCCAACATCACTGAGTGGTTTAAGTCAGAGTTGTTAATACTTTTTGCAACACGTTTTATAGCCAAAATAAATTTGTAGTCAAAACGCTTCTGTTGGATTTTTTTATTTTTATTTATTATTTTGAGGGTGTGTGTGTGTCTCTCTCTCTCTCTGTCTGTGTGATCAATAAGAATACGTAGAAGAGAAGGTCTGGACAAAACGTACAACTGTGTATTACAGTATATAAGAGGGGAGGGGTTAACAAAATGATAAATTTTGTCTACAAACTATGTAGATGCTCCCTAAACAAAAAAAAAAAAAAGTTAGGCGTTATCAAATAGCCTTGAATATAATCCTAATGATTTGTGGGGTGAATGCCTGTTTCTTAGTTCATAGGACATTAAAATACTTTTAAACTGAAAGAAAAAAAGAAATTTTGAATCTCAGATAATTACTATAAAAAAAGAAATGAAACTTAAAGGTTTTTATGAATCACATGCCTTTAACGGTGTGCCGAGGAACACCACTACAGAAATACGGATATAAGTATATGTGTTTTGCTTTATGATCGTAGCTGAGACGATGAATTTTACTATGCTTAATGACAAAGTTGAACAATCTCAAGTTGGAAAATCTAATCACAATCAAAGAACTTGCCAACCTACGTAATGAACACTATTATTGTAGGATTACTTGATTTATAGTACGAACACATGTTTATGTATCTCCATGTGTTCTTACGCGTTTCCTTCTTTAGTAAGGTTTAAAGTATTCCCTCGAAAAAAACTTGTATACAAAACGCTGAAAATAAAAATCGGCTCTCTTGGGGCGAAGTCATATTTAACACTATGTATTACATTTCATATAAAATAAAGTATCTTAATAAATTCTTAGCCTCTTTGCTATTCAGCCAAGCGTGTGTCGTAGTGGTAAGCATGCTTGGATAATGAATTCGAGGTTCATTGTTCATCCCGTTCCCTGTAAAAAATAAAATCCCCATTTTGAGGCTGTGAGTCCGCTACAAGACAGACAGTTAAATTTCACTAATCGATTAATGTACCTTAGATTGGTTGTGAGTTTTGCTGATGTTACCTTACAGAAGTGCTAATTCTTAAGTAATAAAAAATTACTAATTGAAGATTTAAATCCAGACTATCAGTTGGAAGTTAAGAGCAGCCATACACGGTTAAACATTTTGTAACTGCTCGAAAACCCTAAATAAACTAACCAACCTTTCTAGCCTTAGCCCTCTGCCTGTGTGAAAATAACATTTTATTCCTTTTTAGAAATTTTTAATTACTTTCTTTTAAAACTCTTATTATGTATGTTTGTGAAAAATAAATAGATATTTAACAAGAGCGTCTAGAATCATAGCCAAATGAAAAAAAATGTATTTCAGGGTGTTCGAAGAAATATCTGTATACTGTGCTGCTTTTACGGATCTCATTCCCCTCTCTTTCGTTTTGGCTTTCTATGTTTCTCAAGTTGTGGCACGATGGTGGGCTCAATACGAAGCAATTCCTTGGCCAGATAGGTAAATATTTTCTTAATATTGTATTTAATTAATCGTTCAAGACGAACATAAAAACGTCTGGTACCCAAAGTAGATAGTAAAGGCTTTTATAAAAAGTTATCTTTCAAAAATATAGAACTGTAGTAATGAAGATTTAACTGAACACAGAAATATTAAGATTAAAGTGTTTTAAGAAAAGTAAAGAAGTTTGGCAGAAGGTTTTTGTACCTCGTGTAGTATTATCACTTAATAAAAACATGCAAGAAAGAAAAGAAATATCGCTGCTTGTTGTATGACATTGTGTCAAGAGGATTTAAAAATAAAAGAGACACGATCTGTAATTTCAATTTTGTCAATGGCTAAAAAGGTCTAAGCTCTGAGGCAGTGTGTGAACCTTTTGTATGGGTAGGATGTCACGTGTGTGGTGGGGGGAGGTGCATTGTTGGGAAGAAACAGTTCGAGCTCTAAATAAATGAATTCTCCTCAGTGACACACATACATCCTTTCTTGCTCTCTCTTCACATATATTGTATAATATATTTAAACCGGTGAGAACAATACTTTATGAGAAGCAGTTTATTTGAGGAGGCTAGGCCTCCTAAGCGTTTTTTCGCTCCCTCCCTGTCTAAACTAAGGCCTGTGGTTTGGAGTCTAATAGCAATAATGTATTAAAATCTCTTCATTCTTCGACTTGCGGTTAACCAGGTTTAATATCTCATTATTTCAGAACGGCCCTGATGATAGGAAGTTTTGTTCATGGTGCTGATGAACGGAGTAGGATGATAAGAAGAACTCTAGGCCGTTATTTAATATTGATGCAGGTTCTCACTTTCCAAGCTGTGAGTACAGCTATCAAGAAGCGTCTGCCAACAGAGGATCACCTATTAGAAGCAGGTAAACCCACAACTTAATGGTTAATTTTGTTTCTCATAAGTATCATGTTTTGCTGTTTTTTTTGTTTTTTTTTATCAGTTACAGTTGTGTCTAGATAAAGAGATGATTTTCTCTGTTGAATCTACGATGAAACTGGAATACTGATTACATTGAACATAAAAATCAATTCATGTAAGGGCACAATTCACTTTCTAGCTTTTCTTAATAAAATTATCTAATGATAGTGAAATTGTATGCACACAGGACCTGTAATGGATCATTTATTCTCCACTAAAAATAATAGAAACATTCATTTCAGGATTATTAAAAATAAAATATCTATTCATGGTGTTTTGAGTCCATTTTACTTTACCATATAGTAACCTAAAGTAATTTAGGCATGTGAATAATGTTATGACATTTTGTTGAATTCATTATTTGATATTATACAGCAGACCAACATCACAGATTCTCTTATCAATGACACCTCTGGTGAAAAAAAAGGAATCTTTAACATATATATACAAAATATCTATTTGAACTTTCACAAGTAAAACAGAATATAAAATTCAAAAATAAGGCTCATCAAAATAACTTTTAACTCCACAATATAACCTTGGCAGAACAAATTGGGAAAAAGAACCAGAAAGTAAAAAGACCTAACTTTGAAAATTAATGACAAATATATTTTTGATAATATAACCCTTACAAACCTTCTTATTAGAAGTAACTTTTAATACTTTTAACCAAGTTTCAAGTAATATCCAATCTATTCTCTTATTCCCAAGCATCTGGCACATCAGTTTCTTTTTTTTGAGTAGTGTTACTGGACCTAATTGTCCATCCACACCAGGAGACAATAGTCATGAAGAATCAGAAGCTGGAACAAAGGTTAGTATGACTAAATGAAATTGTTAAAGAGTATGAAGAAGTGAACTATCTTTCAAAACATTGAAAGCAGGTAATACAATTATGTGTTTATATTTTGGAGAAAAGGTGGTTACATCTACTATAGTAGAAAGCACAAAAGATAGGACTGGATGTTTTAATCTTTCAGTAAGACATTTTTTGCAAGAACAAGAAAGCGGGACATTATAAGAAAGATGGCATCTGAAGTAGTACTACAATTCTGACAAGAGGATTCCAGAATCTGAACATTGTTTAACATCGATCTAAGACCACACAAAGGTATAGTCTGGAATAAATTACATCTATCAACCTATTTGAAAGAAGGAGAGAAGGCTATAAAAGAAGAAGAAATATACTAAGAGTGAAATGTTTAGACACGTAAGAGGTTTCTGGAGGATACTGTGAGTGAGTAAGCTCAACAAACAAGAGCTGATGAAAATCCTGATTGGCGTAAGAGAGTGATACAATATCATTTTGTGAAATAAGAATTGCAAGGTGACCAACATGCTCATTGCCATAAGTTCCCTACTGTCCAAAGAGCAAGCACTAGGAGGTGGAAAAGGTACAGCTTGGAGAGTGCTGAGAGAGGCAAAAAAGAAAGCAACATGAGAAACTAACTCCCTAATTAAGAACCCAACTAAGGGACAAGACCATAACTGTTCTCTAAAAATGCAAGTAGAATGTGAAAGTCTAAGTGGTTTAGAAATTCCAATAAAACAAACACAAAATCTACTTGTATTTGTTCTGATTACAGGGTTGAAGGAAGCATCTGTATAAATATGTAAATAATTTGCATAAACATAAAGAAGTTTGTAATAACATGAAAGGAATTGAACTTAAAGAAAAATCTACACAGGGTTCACTCCAAAACCATGAAGAGTGGAGAAATTCCAAAAAGCCAAATGGTTTAGTTGTCTGGTGTAATCAAGGGAAGTAGAGCTTAGAATATTTGTACACATCAACCATACTAAAAGTAATTCTCAACTCAAATGGTAAAACTTCATATGAACAAAACTCTTGACAAATGAGGAGAGATCATACATGCCCAAGAAAAAGTTATGACACAAATGGAGTGCAGGTTCAGAGGCAACAATTTGTAGAGCAGAAAATAGAATGCACTTCAGGGTCCCTAAGAAGATATGAAAAGTTGTAGACTGGAAAAAATCTAACTGAACCTAAAAAAAAAAAAAAGGGAGCACAGTGTGGTAAAAAAGACGCATCCAGAATCAAGTTGGAATCAATTAAAGGATCACTAAAAAAGAAGTATTAATGTATCAGCACCCCTAAGAAGAACCTATGACAGTACCCACTAAGATGAGACATTGGCAATATTTGGCAGATAAATTTTTATTTAAGTCCAGCAAGTGAGCTGTTGATCAACATTGACTCCAAATTGCAATTGGCTGTCACTTTCAAAGTGTTGAATAATTATGCTCAAGTGTGCTTCAGTGGTTGGAGAAAATAAAATACCAATATTTTAGAGGTTCAAAAATTAAACCTTCCAGTTAGAGGCTTAAGAAACCATTGCAATTAAATTTTCCTTTATTGAGGATCATACAATTCCAATATTTCTTCCTTGCTTCCAGGTAGCAACATAATTTTTTGAAATTCCTGCTGAAACACCACAACATAGAGTTTAATATCATATAACATAACATTAAAAAGAGTGGGACTGAGTTTGGAGCCATGGGAAACTATATTATATTGCTGATAAACAGAGGTTTAAGTGTTGTTGATCTGAATGTAGACAGTTTGCTAAGGTGAGAAAGTTTTAACCATCATATATGGTCCCTGTAATCAAGACCATAGAATTTCCAAAGAAGCTCTTGGTCCATACAGAATCAAGGGCTGCATTGGTACCTGAGAAAACTATAGTGGATATTCCTTTGTTAACAAAGCTATGATAATATATTATTGTAGGTATATGAGACAGTAAAGGACATTTCCTCCTTTTTTGTGACCCATTAATGTGAGAAGTTATTGTTTTCCAGAGTATTGGCAACACAAGATGATGAAAGGAAACCCTTAGCACTTCTTTGGACTTTGCAACAGGTAGGACCTCAGAGTGTTGAAGTCGAGCAGCACAATCAGTAATTCAGCCAACATTATACAAAGTAAAAAGGAAAGTCAAGGAATATGGACTTAAATGTTGCAACAAGGAATTAGAAATAGTGTCACTAACCAGTGCAGGGTCTTTTGGATAAGAGCAGATTTAAGCCCAGAAATAGTAATTGAATGTTTAAGCAATCCAAGGAATTTTATGCCAAGTCTTCAGAAGATAAGGGAATTGTGTGGTCTTCTTGGGTACACCATTGATACCAACTTTTGAAAGTAGAAATCTGGCAAAGTGAGTGAGTTACAATAGGCTTATCCTCACCAATCCAAGTAACATTGCATGATGGTCAAAATACCTGGGTAAAATATTGAAAACATTCCAAACATGGAAAACTGAAGTATCATTAGTGAAAGAAAGTTGAACAGAAATCTCTCCATCTAACACAACTCTGGTTCTGAAGATAATTTTTAACCTGAATAAATGGTTTGTTATATGATATCCTTTTAAACAACAAGACATGCGTGCATGAAGGACGATAAGCGGTACATTCGGCATCTCTTCACCAAAGCACACTGGGGTGAGACAGGCCACAGGGTCTAGTCAGGTGAGAGGTAAAAGTAGCAACCTCAATTAGTAATTCTGTGAACTGGTTGGCATCTGCAATAGACACTAGAGATTGTAACTTGGAGTCCACATAGGAAGAGTAACTACTCCAATGTATTTTAAAGAATATATACACTGGAGCATATCTCAATGTTCTAGTGATTGTAAGCGATACTGTGACAAGGTGGGAAATCATCATTGCCAAAAGTATCAACTACCACACTTCAAGAACATTGACTACTTAAGTAGGGTTGGATAATCATAAGATCTAGACAAGGAAGTTTTCCATAATGCAGGTCTGTATAGGTGGGCTGCCCATTATGAAGGAGAATGTGCTTTTCCGTAAATGCTTCCAGGAGTCACCATATTGTATCAGATTAAGTCAAGCCCCAAGTGCTGCTATGTGCATTGAAATCACCACATATATAGTGAAAAATCTGGTAGAAGAGAAGCAGGTTTTTGGAAAAAACAATTTTTTTTTAGCATCACAAATGTCAGAAATAGAAAAGGAATGAAATTTGATCATCCATGGACTCAAAATGAGAGATCTGCCTTAGCTATAGATTAAAATTAGATGTCATGTCTTATTAAACATAAGCCACCATGAAATTGCACTATATAATCAACATGGTGAACAGCATAACCAGAAAAATAAGAAAGAGATTGGTGTAGCATTGATTTAATTATACTTATGTTATGAAGAGAAGTCCAAGTAGCAACATAGTGTTTGAATTCAGCACTATGAACTATGAAACCTTGGGCATTCTACAGAAGCAAATTAAAATACACCACCATGATTCTGCAATAAACTACGTCCATCTTAGAGAATCAAATCATTAAAACTCGCATATTTCTTGGCTGCTTTTGTTACAAGACATTCCATGTCTTGCAGATCGTGTAAGGAGCTTTTGAAAGTTTCTGCTATAAATACAACAAAAGCCAAATAGGAGAAAATCATATCTGTCAAGGTACCTTTTTCCACAAAAGGACATCAAGTTTAACTTTTATTATTTCTGCCTTTGAAGAAGGACTTAGTATATTCTGAGAAAGTAAACTGGCATAAGAAGTAGTGAGAGGCTTAAGAAATAAGACTGCTGAGATCCTTGTTTCAGCTCAAGTAATGTTATTGACTGCCCTAAGTTTCTCCATTTCCATTGCCTCAAGAGTTTTAGACAATGACAGTTATTACATTATGTAGTCATTGTTGAACATTCATCACAAGAATGCTGCAAATAGAGTACCTCTGGTGACCTTAGCACAAGAAGGCAATATTCATGAAACAATAACACCTATAATACTGGGTTAGGTTAAGTACAAAGAAGCAGAACAGGAAATTTTTCAAATCCAGCAATCACTGAATGAGGAGGATCTGTACCTATACAAGTGATATCAATACTTTTAGTTTCCATAAGATTACTTATCAATCTTTTGAGAAAGATGCTCAACATTAAAAAACTTTTGACCCTGGCTAGAGTTCTTTGTGAACGTCTACAGGACTAATGTCAACAGAGATGCTTGAAATCACTCCACAAATTTCAACAAGTGAATGAGGATAGTAGGCCTGATCAGTCCAGTCCTCAAGTGCAAGAAGACTAAATAAATGCTTAGCAAATTGAGGTTTCTCAGCTTCTAAAGCAACTCCACCATTGGCTAGTTTATGAAAATCCAATTGATAAGATAGGAACAACCACTTTCAAAGCTTCAGAGAATGTAAAGAACCACTTGTAGGTTAGAAGTGTCTTAGCAAAAAATGAGTGAGCACAGTGCCAAGACAGTGGCAGCAGAAACTGAGGCTGTGGAATCTTACAACCTTAGCAACACCCCTCCACAATGACTAAGCAGTAAACTCAAAGTCTTAAAAATCTAGTTTTGTTACTCCTAGTGGGCAAAGATAGATCATTCTTTATCTTTATGCTTAAATACAAACAAACATCTTGGTTTTCCTTGAGCAAATCTAAATAAAAACAACTCTTAAAACATAAAGCATAAAAAACCAAACCGAGATAACTGAAATATAATGAAGCACAAGTAAACTTAGGTTAAACTCTAAATAAGTCCAGGGGCTACTTAAGGTAAAATTCCTGCTTGTTTTATAAAGATATAAAACCAGAGCATGCTGTTCATACCTTAAAATTAATGAAAATTCCTGAAACAAGGTGCATCAATGTTAATATTAGAAAGAATTACAAGAAAGTGAAATTAGATATAGATAATATGTAGTGTAAAATATTAGGTTTAGCTTAAAAGGCTTGGCACATCAGCCCCAAAGATTCTTTGGCATCTCATTCCTCTCTGTTAACTCTCAAAACTTCTGGTTTGCCTGTTTTTTTTGGCATTACCATATGGCTTCTCTTTCCTTGCATATCAGTTGTCACTTCTCATTTATACTTATATTTTCTACCAGTTCAATGTTTGACAATTATTGGATATTGAAAAAGCATTTGGTCAACTTATTTATATCGAATGATATACTAGTTTACATAAGGCCATATGCTAGAGCTACCATGGCAAAAGCCTAAGTACTATTACTCTGTTAACTTTAATGGGGTATGAGCCAGCATTGTGCATAAACAAACTCAAGTAAAAGCTTAACTAAATTATAGAGGAAATGTTACATAAATATTCTTTATAATAATCAACAGTGAATGATGGAATACAACCTCATGGACTAAACTTTGCTGTGGTAAGTTCTGCCATATGTTTTGAAGCTCAAATGTATATTATATAAAAAGTGTAATGAACATTTACAAAAACACAAAGATAATGAGAAAAATTAGGGTCATTAAACTTTGCTGCAGGTAGAGTTCCTCTCTAATAGGGGCAGTACTTGCTACATGACAGAGGAGACAGTTGCCAATGCCAGCCCTTGGTTTGCTACCCAATTCCCTTGACTTTGTAGGATATAATATAATCACATATAAAATGGTGGAGGTTTTCTTGACAAGTTAATAAAAAAAGTACAGAGAATATATGATATTCTGACACTACTGTGCCTCCCTCTAGAATTTTTCTGAAATGACACAATTGCCCTCTCAGAAATAGCAATAATACTATTTATTATAAAAAATAAGAAACACATTAACCTTCACACTATTATATGTGCACCACACAAAACAATATCCCCATATAATATGGATTGCAGCCAAACATAAAACAACATACATGTACCAAGAACTTTGTATATGTTTATATAATGAATGCCATATCTTTGCCTTACAGTTTGGGCACAGGACAGGTAGACTATTCAGTGCCTGTTCTGTGAAAGTGGGTTTTCTTGGGGTACTCCCATTTCCACCCACAACAAATTTTACGGTATTGGATTTATTGAACCCAGTCAAGGCATCGGATTTATAGATCCCTGCCAATCTGTGACCCTGACTATGGGCCATTAACCTTTGTCTTTATTGAAAATGTTTTAAATCCGGGATGTCAGCCTTGGCACCTTCACTTTGCCATCTTTTCCTTTACAAGTTCTCCCTGAAAAATTTAAATCTTAAGTCCCTTCCAAATTTAATAATCTCAGCCCACAAACTATTAATCAGAAGCTCCATTTTTAATGCAGTTATTAAAAGCCCACTTTAGATAAACGTAATCATCACAAGTGGGGCGAAGGGGGGATACTAATATCCCTAAACACCCCAGTTGAGGAAAGTTTATTTCCTTTTAAAACTAAACACCTACCACGATTAAAATAATAAAAAAATTATTGTGAAAAATTGACTAACTTTTATACAATTTTTATACATATTTCTTTTAATCTAGACTTTTAAAAATCCTATAATAAATTTCATAGAGCAGTTATCTTCCTTCTGTACATAATCATATTTTTTTGAAATTTTGTATGTATATTAATGACTTTTTTTCTGTTAGTACCATTTACAGGCTTTTCACTGGAAAGGTTATTTTTTTCTGTGTGATACATACACAGCTGGTTGTGAAGATGAAACCGTAATATTTTTTGTCTTAAATCATAATAGTACTTTGAATTCATAAAGCAATTTTAAACATTCACATCCTGATGTTTCTGAACATGTTTCAGAAGAATATTTTTATTGTATTTGGTCGAAATGTTTTTTGGTTGAGCCATGAAATAATTATTAAGTGAATAAATAGCAAGAAAGATTGGTGGTTTGCACTGAACAAATTGTATATATGGGTATTGGAAACTGACCTGCAAGGTTGTACAGTGCAATTATATGATAAACACTATAGAGATTTAAAATAAATACTTGCAGATTAAACTTTTGTTAGTTCAGTCATTTTTATGCAATTTCCAATTTAAGAAAACAATTGCTTTTACATTTTTTTTTAAGTGTTATAATAGTTTACACAGAGTTCTTTGCACTCTGTTTCCTTAATTAGAAACATCTTGGTATTTAAAGCAACCCTTTTGTATTCTACAAATTCCTTTATTTCAGGTCTAATGACTGAAGAAGAAAAGAAACAGTATGATAAGTTAAAGAACCAACTAAGTACAAAATGGTGGCTTCCTGCTCAGTGGTTCTCAGCTCTAACAGTAAGAGCTCGAAAAGAAAGGCGTATTAAGGATTCCATTCAAATGCAAGCTCTACTAAATGTAAGCTGTTATACATATGCAAAAAATAAATGTGTACAATAGTAATGGTCTAAAGTGATGTAAATATTAAAAAGATAAAATACTATCTTATGCTGAAAAGAAATCTTTGGTTCAAGCTAGAAACTCAACTTGGAGATACCTGTTTCAGTTTTGCATAAAAATACTATTCTTTCTTTAACATTAATTTCATAAACAGTATTGCTTGAATATTTAATACATAATGTATGTAATATATTTTTATTATTGTTCATTTATTTATGATATATATATATATATTACATTCATTATTTTCATTGCTAGCTTAGGATATGTAATTAGGACTAATCTCTTAAGATTATGGCTAACATTAATGATAACAGCAAGAGTTTCTAACTGATGAATTGATACATTTTACTCATTGTGTGTATATATATATATATATATTTGCTTTTTAACATTGCAGGTCCTAGTTAGATAAGCATATTAAGTAAACTACATTATTCAATGAGCTATTTTTAATTCTAATTTATGTGGGTAGCTTGCTTTGATCAGAAATGACTCGTAATTCAAAAAACACCTGTACATGAACACACTGTCAAATCATAAGTATGTAATTGTATTACTTTTCTTTTTTTAGCTTCTTAGAAAAGCTGGCATTTTAGTTACTGATGATGATGTACTATGTGAAGTTTTAATTTCATTAATTAATGTTGGAAATATTTTGCTAAGCTGTTTAATTTTTCACAGGAAATGCTGATGTTCCGAGGATTGTGTGGTACAATGTTAAGTTATGATTGGATAAGTTTGCCTTTAGCTTATACACAGGTGAGTAGATTAACAAAAAAGTAACCTGTTAATATTATATTAATATGTTATGTTTTTCTAAGATAAATGTGTGTCAGATTAAATATATATATATTGGTTTACCAATGAGTGATAATAATATAAAAATGTGCTTTCTAGTGTGAATTTTTTCTGAAAAGTTATGGTACAAACGTTTTTCAAGAGAGTGATAATAATACTTGCCTGTTAAATATCATTTAACAGTGTAAAATACATTTACTTCTTTATGTATCACCTTCTGGTCATGGAAATTGCTCTGATAAATGACATCTTGTCAAAAGTCCCACGTGTGGAAGGTGATACCTCCATGACCAAAGAAATATCAAAATTTTTCTTAATTTTTCATTATTTAGATCTTATGCTGATCTATAGTTTACAAAAATAATATAGACCCAAATGAAGTAGTACAATAACTTAATTTTCAAAAGTTATTCAAAACATAATGGTGACTTTTCTCATGAATTGACTGTTAAAAAAGATACAACTAAATATTCATGAGTCTATCAAAGATATTTTTCCAACACCTGAACATGAAAGAAAAAATGTGAATGGAAATTATAAACCAGAAGAGACTATGTTAATAAAGCAGAAAGAAACATGAACTTAGACATAAAACTGATTTAAAATGGACGTATCAAATAAATACAACATTGAACAAACAAAAACAGCAAAAAGGAAAACTTAAAAACCTTTCAACCCTTTTCAGGAAAAATAACTTAAACCCAAGGTTTACAAACATTTTGTTTTTCTTCTTCTTGTCATTAAGTGTCAGATTTTATGTATGAGCCAAATTCTTTACAGTAGGTTTCTATGACTTGTTGATGATAAATTCCAACAATAAACAAACAGCACACAGTCCACTTGTTTTAAAATAATATATTAAAGCAAATCAAATGTACATAAAAATATTTGTTACACTGTAAGTTATCACAGGTGTAGCCAGTGTAGCTTTAAATAATTGTCAATTATTTGTTGTTGTCAAAGTCCACACAGGCTGGTTCAGTTACTTTAGAATACACCTGACAAGATGAATTATTCCTCTTGCTCTGTTATTACAATACTGTACCATTTGCACCTATGGATGTATGCAAGGGGCTGATGATTCATCTAGATGAAACTCCTTCCCATAGAGGTAGTTCTGGAATTTCCAGATGACAAATATGATGGCCAGACACTCTTGTTCAATCACAGAGTAGTTCTTCTCACTACTCAACAACTTTTTACTGATGTACATTATGGGAAACAGTCTGTTTACATGCTCTTGCAGAAGTATTGCTCCTATTCCAACATCTGATGCATCGGCCTGAACAATGAACGGCTTGTTGAAGTCTAGCATTCTAAGAATTGGTGAACTTCCTAACATGTTCTTCAACTTCTGAAATGCCATTAGCTGTGGTTGTTCCCACCTCACCTTGTCCAGTTGGCATTTCTTGGTATAGCAACTTCAGCATATTCTTATAGTATCCTGATAACTTGTGCTTGGTCGTCAGAGCTGGTGTATGTTGTATGCAGGTTAGCTTCTCCTCTTCCATGGCTATCTATCGGTCGCCCACCTTGTGTCCAACAAAGTCCAGCACAGAATAACTGATGTAGTACTTAGATGGTCAGACCTGCTGCCCTCACTTGCCTGGACAGCACTCTGAGCTTATTCAGATGGTCTTCCCATCTGGCTGTGTGGATCAGAATGTCGTCCATAAAATTCTCGATGTTGGTGGTTTTGTGCAACATCTTTCTCATCATGAGGTTGAATGTCACTGCTGAGTTGACTAACCTAAACGGCATCCTCTTGAACTGGTAGTATCTGTCTGTTGTCACAAAGGCTGTTTTCTCTTCAGATTCTATCTCCATTGGAATCTGCCAATAACCTTTACTGAGGTCGATCTTTGTAAAGAACTTGTCCCCATTTATTTCATCATGATAGCCTCTGGGTTGCCCATGGGTTTGGAGTCAAACTTTTTCATGAGGTTCAGCATCTGGAAATCTATGCAGAAGTGGTATGAGCCATTAGTCTTCTTCATGACTACCACTGGTGAACAGAAGGCTGAATTTAAAGGCTCAATGATTCTGGTTTCTAACATTACTTCAGCTTCTTGCTTGATCAGGTCTCTTATCACACAGGGCATCTGGTAGGGCTTCACCTTGACTGAATCCCTGGTCGTGATCTCGATCTTATGTTGCACAAGGTCTGTCTTGCCTGGTCTATTTGTAAAGACTTCTGCATAGCTCTTTTCTCTGCTTGCTAGTCAGTTCTTCACTGATGTTGACGTCTTTCTTTGTATGTCTCATTTCCACCCAGCAGTCTTAGGTCTAATAGATTTTATCTTCTGTAAGAAAATCACCATCTTCTGGTTCTGTATCTATAACAGCCACACCTGCAATGTCCATCTGTGCCTCAATAGCTGCACCCATTAGGTCTTCTTCCCTCTTCAGGTATCTCTTCAACAGGTTAGCATGGTAGACCATAGTCTTCCTATCAGCTTTCACCTTATAGTGCATTCTTTTGACCACTTCCTGCACTTCAAAAGGTCCCTTACACTGCAGGGTGAGTTTCTTGTCACCCACAGCAGAACCAAGACTTTCTGTCTAATCTTGAAACGTTGATTTTTGGCCTTTTTGTCATAGAAGTGCTTCTGACTGCATTGAGCTGCATACAAACTTTCTTGAGCAAGTTGACAGGTCTCCCCCAGTCTGTTTCTGAGGTCTAACATATACTGGTGTGTGTTCCTCACTTCTGTCTGTACTTCTTCTGTCCAAAGTTCTTTCAGTATCTGCATCAGACCTTGTACTGTTCTTCCATACAATAACTTGAAGGGTGAAAATCCTGTACTTGTTTGTGAGACTTCTCAGTAAGCAAATAATACTGCCTGCAGTCACATGGCCTCTCCTGGCACATCTTCTTCAGCATACTCTTTAAGACCCTGTTAACTCTCTGACAAAGTCCATAACATCTGGGGTTCTATGGGGTAGTAAAGAGCTGCCTGGAGCTAATCAATTCTGAAGTAAATTGGGTCCCTTTGTCACTCAAGACTTCTTTTGGATAGCCTACTCTGCAGAGCACTTCCAGGAGGGCTTCTGCTACTCTCTCCGTCTCTATCTTCGGCAATGCTATGGCTTCTGGGTAATTTGTTGCATAATCAACTACTGTCAGCACATACTGGTTCCCTTTGTCAGATACAGGTACTAGTGGCTTTATCAAGTCCACAGCTACTGTGCTGAATGGCTCTTCTATGAGAGGCATCTCACACAGTGGCACCTTGGCTGCCTTCCATCTAGGTAGTGTTCTTTGACAGATGTCACATGATCTGCAAAATCTGGTTACATCTCTGATGACCCCTGGCCAGTGGAAGTTTTTGGTGATTCTGTCTGCTGTCTTCTCTACTCCTAGGTGTCCTTCCACAATCGACTCATGAGCCAACTTCATCATTTGAATCCAGTATTCTGTTGGCACTATCATCTGTTTAACTCCCCCAGTAGAAATTCCTTGATAGATCCAGTACAGCACTCCCTTCTGATTTTCTGTTTTGTGCTTGACTTACTCCCAGGTACTGTCCCAAAGTTTCTGCAGTGAAGGATCTTCCTTCTGGACTACTTTCAGTTTTGTAGACCTACATATGTGATGTCATCTTTCAAGATTTGCAGAGGCTTCACGTCTTGCTTGCTATTCTTTTCTTGAGCTCTTGTGGTGACTACAGATGCCTGGTTCTTTCAAACTTCTACTTCCTGGTATATTGTCAATTACCAAGTCATAGATATGTGCCTTCGTACACATGGCTATCAAGGTCTGCCACGTAGTATGGAGTGTCCACCTTTATTCTTGCTTTGGTCATTTTCTTATTGTCTCATCAATCACACACACTGATGTACCTTGCCTGTCATCTGGCTATCAGATACTAGACTAGTTCTCACTGCTGCACTGCTACACCCATTGTCTTGTAGGACTTTCACTTTCTTGTCCCCGACATAGCCTTCATCTACCAGAATGTTGTGGTTTGTTGGCACTTCTTGATGTTTGTCACATGCTCTGATCACCACAGGCACTGTTGACCCGTTTACTAACTTGAGCTGACCATCACTTATGCATTGTTTAACCATAGTGACAGCACTTTCTTCTCGTGGTGAATCTGACGAATTGTCTCTATTATATTAATTTTGGTAGCAGCATCCATAGTGACAGTCACTCTTCTTTTTTCTTGTCAGGACCATCTTTGTAGGTAGCTCCAGCTGCTTTATGTTGAGATTTCTGCTGTTGCTTGTTGGTGACAGAATTGCACTCACTTGCAATGTGCACCATTTTATAACAAGCATAACATCTCTTCTCCCTTTTGTCAGTTTGCTCCTTGTCACCTTTGGTGGCATCCTGCTTCTGGTCAGCCATCCCTGTTTCAACTTTGACTGGTTATTCTTGGACTTGCCATTTATACTCCCTCCATGGGCTTCCATATACTGTTTTGCCAGCTTGATCATCTCATCCATGTCTTTCAGTGCTCTCTTTTTTTTAGGAACAGCGACATGTCAGTTGAGCACATGATCATGAACTGTTCATTTATCAGTAGATCTGTCTTTCAAAACTATCTTCACACTTGACCATGTCAGTCTACTTTGTGAAGTATTGCTGTAGACATGCCACAAACTGAAATACAGTTTCTCCACTGTTAGATTTGACTTCTCTGAACTTCTGGAAAAAACCTTCCTTTGTAAGTTCATAGCATTTCAGTAAGGCTGCTTTTAACTGGCATCTTCTTATGTCATACCCACATACACTTGTAGGCCTTTTCCTGTGAGAAGGGGGCTGAGACAGACTGCCCAGTCACATTTGCCCTAGTTCTGACTTTGGGCAAATCTTTCATACCTCTCCAGGAAAGCATCCATGTCATCTTTCTGTTCAACAAAGTTTGGCAGCTTGGGTTAGTTGGCCCTGATCCCATTGTAATTCTTGGGTCTTTCCTCTTTATGTTGGATGAGCTTGGTGATATCAATTTGTGCTTTTATTCTCTCTATTTCCTGTTTCTCTCTCTGTTTCTTTTTTTTCTTTCTCTTTTTCTTCCTCTCTTTTCTGTCACCACTATTCTCTCTCTCTCTCTGTTGTTTAACAAATTCTCATAGTTTGCCATCTTTGAGCCCAAGTCAATTGCTCATCTCTTTTCAAAGTCATCTAATACGGTTATATAGTGTGGTTTTTGACCTCTACAATATTTCTGCTAACACTAGAGTTGTGCATATATAGGTCCTTTTGCCAATGTTATTTATGTCTACTTCTACTGCCTTTTACCACTGTAGATCTTGGCTGGCTCGGCACTGTCAGGTTTTATGTATGGGCCAGATTCTTTGCAGTAGGTGTCTGTGACTTGTTAGCAATAAATTTCCACAATAAACAAACAGCACACAGTCCACTTTTTAAAAATAATATATTAAAACAAGTCAATTGTATATAAAAATGTTTCTTACACTGTTGGTTATCACAGTTGTATCCAGAGCTTTAAATAATTCTATTTTTCGTCAAAGTCCATATGGGCAGGTTCAATTACTTTAGAAAACAACTTGACAAGACAAATTATTCTTCCTGCTCTGTTATTACAATACAGTCCATGATAATTTCACTTTAAAAATTGCTACTATATGCTCTTTATTGCTAAACTCACAATCACACAATCTAGACCTAGCTATAACGAACTAAACTTTTGATGCTTATTTATACCTTGATAGAGGTCTAGAAAATTCCACACACTACTAGATATTATGATACAATAATACTCAATCAAAACAATGAGAAAAACTCGTAAGGTTCTAGTAACATGACACAATAATATAACAATCACCAATTCATAATTATTAAACTACACAATGTATGGTTCTTAAAACAACTTGCCATAAACTATCACTTCTAACAATCATGATATATAAACTAACTAAATCTCTCATTAAACTGAAACAGTTGTATATATCTAACATTAAGGGATTAACAATTTTTACAGTTCACTGTGATATACAATGTTTCCAAATTTCTCTTTTCTAGGATTTGAAAATATTCTCTATTGTAGGGTTTACAGAGTTTCTACTTTTTTTTTTGTCCATGAATGTAGGAAGCTTATCTCTTCTATAGCTGGCCAGGGTTTACAAATTCCTAGTTCTATTATCTTTGAATTTAAGAAATTCACTATCTTAATAGGGACCAGGATTTATAGTATTTGTTTTTCTTGTTCTTATGATTTAATAGCATGTATGCAGAGGATTTTAGTATATGTGTCTGAATTATTTTGGGATGAATATTTGAAATAAAAGTGTTATTTTTTTTCGTGCAATTAAACTATTTAGACTGTCTTATAATAAGAAACTACTGAATTTTTTTATCATATTTAATTTTTATTTGATTTTTTCTTTAGTACTTGTTTTAAGTTTGAAGAGTTAATCTAGAGAATTATTGATGAATAGTTGTGATGTAATCTTTACTTATCTAGAAAACATTTAACACATTTCTTCTTTCTTCAAGTCAAACAAATAAGAGTTAACTTGTCTCCATTTTATTTGATTCAAAGTATTTGGTAAGGATTTGTTGCAGATACTACAAAATATCTCAAGAATATTTGATAAACAGTCTGACTAAATTATAACTGTATTTTTCAGGTTGTTACCATAGCAACGTACACATATTTTGTGGCTCAGATTATGGGTCGGCAGTATTTGGATCCTGAATTGGGCTACACGGGTTATGTTATTGACCAATATGTTCCTGTTTTCACACTGCTACAGTTTTTTTTCTATGTTGGATGGCTAAAGGTGGGTCAGTGAAAAACAAAACAAATGGTCTTATAGTTATCATCACCTAAAAATAATCAGAGAAGCTGTTACATTGTGATTTATTAGCAGCTGAGTAACGTCTATGATGTTTGAAACTAACAAGTTATTCATCCTTAAATAAGATCCAACAATTCTTTAAACCAGTTGCATTGACAGAGGTTTGATACTTGTAGCTAGAACTAGGACTGGTCAGTATAGGAGAATTAATATTGTATAGTAGAAGTACCAGTTTCTTTATGAATTTTGTTTCTAATTTGTTGTATTGATATACTCACTTAGAATTGTTACTCTGAAAACCAAAAGTAAGTATTTTTTTTTTTAATAAGGTGGCAGAAGAGTTAATTAATCCATATGGAGAAGATGATGATGATTTTGAACTAAACTGGACTCTGGAAAGAAACATACAGGTACTATTCACTAAATGTAACTTCAAAGCATCCAAAGAGATTGATTGTTATTTTAACTTGGAGTCACTGATTACCAAGCTAGACTGTGGATCCAAGGTTCCATGGTTCATGTCCACCCACCCAAAAAAAGCACTCTGAACTTTGGGAAAGTAGATGCATCATAAGAGTGACAATCAAATACCATCTTACATTACAGTAGCCATGAGTTGGCAGAGAGTGGTTTGATTAGCTGTCTTCCCCTGTAGTCTGTCTTATCAAAAATAGGGACAGATAGCTCTCAAGTAGCTTTTGCACAAAAATCAACAAATGTTTTAATTTTGAAGTTGTATAAAAAATTTTATAATCCTTAAAAATTTTGTTTTTATATACAAGTTTTATGAAAGTAACTTGTTTGTTTTTTTACTTCTTTTTAAGGCTTTTGTTTTCAGGGTAATAACATTTGAAAAGTTGCATAATTGAAGTAATAAAATAAATACAGTTGTGAATACTGTCTTCTGAGGTTAATGAAAATTTAGAAAAAAGTGTATGACATTTTAGTAAGGTAAATTTTTTCAAAAAGATGACCTTTGCTGGAGGAAGTGATGCAATGTGTGCGTATAACACTTGCTCGGCAATGCAATAGTTACACACACACAAATACGTATATACAAAATCTTTTATATTCTTTGCAAATATTCTTTTTGTGTACTTTTTAAACCGTTTGGACAAAAATCAAAAATTTATATGCATATATTGTTTCTACATTTTTGGTCATCTGCTGGTTTTTGAAAAATAAATTTAGTCAGCTCAGTTTTAACGCTCATTATATTAATGTATATCTGAGCCCTGACTTCTCTGGTTTTCTGGAAGTCAAATTTAAAAACTTCATTTTTCTTGTTAGATTGTTTTTCTTATTGTTGATCACCTTCATTCTCAACATCCAAGGCTAAAACGTGATTTCTTCTGGGATGAATTAGAACCTCATCTTCCTCATACCAAAGTTTCACAGTTAAACAACCGATTGTATAATCCTCAGATTGGTTCTGCTGCTAACCTTGAGTATGTCCTTTTTTGTTTTTTTTAGATCTTGTTCTTTATCTAATGAACAATGTATAAGTAGTTTATGACAGAATATTGAGTTAGCAGTTTTTGTTTGATTATGAAGAATTAAGTATTAATGCATGTAATTTTTGAGGTATTCCATTTAATATAACTACATTCCTTCTAATCTTTAGGTTTGTATATTTCAAATAAAAATACATATTTGATCATTACAATGTGTATAACATTGCAAAGTTGTGTTAACGTATTGATTATATTGTTAATAGTTTTTTCGTAAACGATGTGAACATGTGGTCGGTGTATTTTCAAGAGTGAAACAGCCTTGTATTTGCAAGTTATTGTATGCTTATAGAAGTAATAAAAAAATTTTCTAGTTCTATGAAAGTGTACACAAGCTTATGTAAAAAAAGTATTTGATAAGGGTTTGTTAATGATTAAATGATAAGATTTTCAAAATAGTTTTATTTTAGACATTAAAATTTTTGTTTTTTAGGTTTGGTTCTTCTGATGCAACATTTCTACCCCTTGAAACAACCATTGAGCAAGATAGACAAGAAAATGTTTATAATACTCCAACAATAGAGCTTGGTGGACCACCTAATTTTTTTCGAGACATCTTAGGTGGGAGTTTGCGCTTTAGTATTAATCGAAGAAGTAGTAAATTAAGCAGTTCAGAAGATAATACTAAGTTACTAAACAGTGAGAAGACTGGCAAGGGAGGTCTACGACATGCAACAAAGACAACTTCTCCAAAACAACATGGTATTCCTAGTGGCCATTATGGTAGTACAAAAGCCACTTCAAGTGGTCTTACAGCTCCCTTACGTACACCATTTATCCTAAAGTACCCTTTTAGTAATCTAAGTCAAAGAAGAAACAAACTAAACAGGTTTAAGAATCAAAATAAAAGATTTGAAACAAGTGACTCCGACATGACAAGTAGTTTTGACAACTCTGTACCTCGTCTTTTAATGAGACAGGGTACATCTTTTGCTGGACCAAATGCACTTAATGTATCAAAACCATATTTTACTAATGCACAGAGTTATACATCTGACAGCATTTGTATTCCTAAACCATCAGACAGTTTAATGGTACCTACATTGTCTGGACCAAACTCACCTATGCCTTCGATTCCAGAAGAATCATCTAATGCTATTTGTTTTGATGACAGTAAAAGCTTGTTAATGCCTGTAATACTAGAGGAGACATCTAGTAAACTAACACATACAGAAGTGACACCAATTCTGGAGGAAAATTCTAGTTCAGAAACTGTTATTTTATTAGAACAGGGAACCTGTAAGCCATCAGAAGACAGTGATAACTCTTCTATAAAACACAATTCTCCTGGTGAAGCAAATACTTCGGAAAGTGATGAAACAAAAGCATCAAATTCTGACACTTACAATAGTGATTCTGATATTTCACGTGTTAGGAAAAGAAGTCCTGTGGATTCTACCATGTATGAATCCTGTTGCTCAGTAGGTTCAGACAGTTCAGACTCTGATGGTAAGAAAATGGCAGAAAATAAAAAAAGTAAAAAAGGTAAAGGGCACAGCAAAAATGACAACTATTGACAACTATTTCAGGTATACTTATGACTTATTGGACTGAAACTATAAAAAGAATGTGTGTCATTAAAGTCTAAATATTCCATTACAAAAAAAGGGGAGGATGGGCATGAAAATGTGGTTTTAGTGAAGGTAAGTAATGTTGATTGCATTATCTGTTATAAATAATAGAAAAAGGCATGTTGTACACACCATGTTGATGGTAATACACTTCAAAGTTGTGGTTTAACATGGCAGGAATAGAGAAAGTTACAGAACCTAATTTGAAATGCTCTCTTTGAAGTATAGAAATGATACATGCATGTGGAGATGTTAGAATGTGAAGTATGAACTGGATGCTCAACAGAGGATCTGGACTTTATAGTGTATAGATGCTGCTCATGTTGCATTAGTTTTATTATATTTGGGATTCAACCATCTGCAGGACACATTCATGCCCTTCAAGTGCCACACAAGAAGTGTATATTTGATGCAGCTGATTAAGACTGATATTTTGTTTCAAGTGAATATCATGTAATGAACTAATATTTTTGTCTGCCAATTCTTTTGTATTGGCTGGCATATTGTAATATGATGGCATAACTGTCTCTATCTGTCACCATCTTTTTTATCTGCCATTGTATATTCATCCAAACGTGATGTGAAATATGTTAGGCTTTAATTGACATCCATCCTTCAATGAGTAGTGTATCTTTGCACAAGACACAATGAGGAGAATAAATTTGTAGTACAGTTTTAAGATCCTTAAGCATGGTTCTATATTGTTGAACATTTTCTTCTTAATTTGTGGCCAGATTAACTGAATATATATATATATATATATATATATATATATACTTTTTCACATAAATTTGTTATTTAGTAATAGAACCTCAGTCTTTGTAAGAAATATTTTGTAAATACATTTGTCTGATCTACATTTTGTTACTGTTGATGCACTTTTATAAAGACTAACAGTTGTAAATAAAGCTCTAAAAATATATATATTTTACTCTATAACCTAAAAAATGTGCATAAATTTTGTGGTATATATGCTTATACTTACACAGAGTTGTATATTTTAAATATTCAAACTTGGTAAAATTACATGTGAATTATTTTTAATGATTTTTATTAGTTGGAGTTATGAATGTTATATAACATTGTTCTCATTCAACTATATTAGTTACCATTTATTTTTAATATTTTACCTTGAAATACAGTATGTATGAAATCAGATGCAAGCTAAATGTTTTTCAAAGTTTTAATGCAAAGTTCATGATTTTTATTTTTGTAAAATCAGTCATTCACTCATCATAATTCCCAGTGGATTCAGATAAATATACGTGAACTTCAATATTTGTTTATAATGGTGATTAATTATCTAGGTGACTGTATTATTTACCTCCAAGGTTTTTATGAATGATATGAAACTTTTTATTTGCATGAATATTAATCAAACCTCTTCTGTCAAAAACATAACAGTAAGTTTCTAATTGCATATTTGTCAATTCACATAAAAATTCACTGTAATAAATTTTTAAATAATTCGAAAATGTAATCCCATAACATTGTTTTAACATCGATCTCTCATTAGACTTGTTCTTTTAAATTATTTTCACAAAATAATTTCAAGTCCAGTCCACTTAATGATGAAAAAATGTTTTTCGTTTTTCTAATTTTGAAAAACTTAAATCTGGTCAAGGTCATTTGTTAATTTCGACATTATATTTTACTTTCTGTAGCAACAACTGGTCAAGCAACTTAACTGCTATTTCATGAGAAAGTTGTATGCTAATTTATCTTTGTGTAAACTAGCATCTGCTATGGGGTTCAAACCCCCTCTCCCCTCATGATTTGCAGAAGCCCCAATGAACTGATCAAACTTCTTTATCATCCTTAATTATTTCTATAATTATCACCCCCTCCTCAAAAAACAAAAACCATTAGGACACCCTTTGGTTCTAATAGCTTGTGAGGGGGGGGGGGGTATGAACACAATTTCAAACGTGTCAACCATGATATCCCAAGATAAGAGCACCTTAAAGGCCATCCCAAGTCTGTTTACCAAGTTTGGCCCAGAACTGTTGAAGGAGTTAGTTGGGCATACGTACTAACATGCAGCACAACAAGGATACTTCTTTACTTTTATAACAGTGAATGCAGTTTGGCACTTTCAAACCAGATTTAATTAAGTTTTGTTGAAGCCAGAAAATGCTGTAGAAGTGCCTTCATTTTCAAAATGCCTCAGAGTGCTGATCATATGCTATTCAGTTGCTTCACTTTTAAGGCAATATTACAAGGCAGTATTACATTCTGCTACATGTTCAGCCATTATCATGTTTCCATTTTATATAAGTATTTTGTTTTCCAAAACACACCTCCTCTCACACTACTCAAATGCCAGGGTTTCTTCCTTTGCCCATATAAACATTGGTCTGATTTTTCTCACTTGCTCCAGTCTTTTATACCTCACTTAATTGCCCTTGGCAATATTTGTCTCATAACACACTCCACCTATGTCAATGCACCTTCTTTCCTGGTACTGTATATAAGGACCTCATTCAAATAATGCTATCACCTTTTCTCGACAAAGCATTACTAACGGGTTTCTCAGTTCTACGATTGTTCAAAGATATTGTGAGTATTCTTCATGTTACCTAGTTGATATTTGAAAAAAACAACTATATACTCAATATGTCATCAGTCTTTTTTTTTTTTCATCACATATCTCAGTCGGGCTCAGCTGACTCCCGTCGGTCTCCATGCTATGAAACAGGAAGCCCGACTCCTACTCACCTCTCCTTCCACTGCACAGATGGTTCTTTCTCTTTTGGGAATGTGGGCATCACTCGATTCATCATGCCTTTGGGGCAAGTGCACAAGAGATCCTTTCAATAGTCTTTATGCACCAAAAGGATCATAAACATTTATTCACTGGATTCCCCGGTTTCCTTATTCAGGATCATTCTTCAATTTCGAGAGGTTGTAAAGTCGGGACAGTACTAACATATGGGTTATTCTGCTGCCACCTCATCCAGAGATCCATCTCTTCTCGAATGCCTCGCTTCAGAGATGGGGTGCATATCCCAACAGTCAGGAATTCCAAGGTCTACACATAGATGACAAGGCTTGCCTACACAATGGTTTAGTTCTCCTTTCTTTTTTAAAAAGTGATGCCCCATGGTCAAGGCTTATTAAGGGAAAAGTTGTCAGGCTTCACTCCGAAATATCCACGTGGTGTCTTGCATTTCTTGTCAGGGAGGCACTTCGTCCAGGGCTCCTTGTTTTTGAACCTTGGAGCTCCTTTTTCTGGACCACACCTCTCATAACACTGGTGCTACTATAGCATATGGTCTACAAAGATATTTGCACTATAGCGTGTGGTCTACACAGATACTATCATCATCACTGTTTTAATGATTCACTAAAACATAAGTTTAGGTTATAATTGTGCTAGTTTTGATTGTTGGAACTTATTTCATTCCAATTATATTTGCCCCAAAAACGGTATGTAATGACCTGGCTCTGGTAAGGGTTTTACATCTTCCACAATCGCCCTATATAAGGCAGCCTTATCGACTACCATTACATACTCGAGAAAAAATGTCTGAGTCCCCAGTACTCTCCGACTTACTTCTTAAAGTTGCTTTGGGTCCTTTGTCCTAAACATCCATTCCAGTTATCTAACTTGTATATTAAGGTTACATTACATGCCATTTCTCAACGTCATTATCTGACTTTAGCCTCATATGCCATGTATCATCTTTACCTGAAAGTTTAGTTTTCGTTACTGCTGGCCGACAGACAGTGCCAGTTGGTGTGGTTTGGGCTGATTGTCCACAGGATGCTTTATCATTCTACCTATGTCTTCAGACTGGTTCTCCATACTCGGGTCCCTGGATGTGTTTCCCAGATGTCAGTGGGATAGGCACCAGCTTGCGCAAGAGCCTACCCGTAATACTGGTTCAGATTTGATGCTTGGCTATCTGATTGGGTTTAGCTTGGCCCTTCTTTTTTATCAATATTGTTCAGTACATTGTTCATGGAAGAGGGTCCATTGTGTCATCGTAATTCCGATGGCAGAGTGGTCCCATCCTGGGTCTTTGGTTGAGCACATTTTGTTCCATATTCTCCCCAGAATTCCGGGAGCAAGTGGAAGTTATCTTGCCCACACAGTTGGGGAGGGAGGATGAGTATTCATAATTCCATATCGGATGTGTTCTGTTTTCTCAGGTTGAGTAAAGCATACAGGAGCCCGTCATTCCGAGCCTGGGGTGTTGCCTTTCGTACTTCTTGAGGTTGAGGGGAAGTTTTGTCCACTTTGGTGTTGCTTACCTTCTCGTCGTGATTCCGGTGGATCAGAACGCATCACTCTATGGCTACAGGTTGGGATCCATCATATGTATATATGTGTGTGTGTGTGTGTGTATATATATATAATGTGTGTGTGTGTGTGTTTGGTGGGATGAGGATTCGAACCCATGACCCTCAAATTGCAAGTCGAGCACCCAAACCACCTGGCCATGCTGGGCTGGAAGTTAACATTTTCTTAAATCGAAAATGTATTTCCAAAAATACGTACCTACTTTCACACACTCCTGCCCTCCCTCCTCACTGAGAGTCGGTGTTAGAGACTGTGGATTGAGTCAGTTTCGAAAAATGATAACATTATTTGAATAAGGTGCTTATAAACAGTGCTAGGATAGAGGGCACATTAACATAGGTGGAGAGTGTCACGAGACAAATATCGCCAAGGGCAATTAAATGGGGTATAAAAGACTGGAGCAAGCAAGAAAAAAATCAGACTAATGCTTAGATGGGCAAAGGAATAAACCCTTGCATTTGAGTAATAGCTGCAGTGTGAAAGTAGGTAAGTATTATTGGAAATAAATTTTCAATTTAAGAAAATGTTAACTTTTATTCTAACCTCAATACTTTATCTTGCTTTTCTTATTACACCTGTAAAAAATTACTACACCAATCCTTCTGCACACTGGGTCTTCAAACCACTCTTGTTAAAAAGTGTCGTAGTTTGACCTTGAAATTATCAAAATTGCACGTTGTCTTCTGAAAGAACTATTTATGTAGAGGTTGAGTACGTAATATTAAAACGATTTTGGAGCTTCACCATGTAGTTACAGTCCATGCTGCTTGTTAAGTAATGCTCTTATTTGATGACTGTGCATCATGACAATAGCCTTGCAGAGTAGTTGTTATTCAAAAGGCTCCATCATACGACTATGCCCAAAGCTTATCACTTCTACCTGCATGCTTTCTATAATCCATCGAGTAGAAAATTATGTTGATTTCTCGGTGCCTTTTTCAACAGTTTGATTGCACAGAAACCCATAGGCATCGTATCTGGCAACTTGATTGGTGTTTTTTTTATATAATACTATGATTACACATTTCATTTTCCAGCCACTTGAAATATTCAACAGTTGAATGGGAGGTATGACTGGAAGGCTTATCATGGTGAACACACCCTGTTGTCTTCGTTTCCAGATGGAGATCCTTTTTGATTATGAAGCGTATTGTTGCCTGGTGTATGTGGATGGCTTTTGCCACTGACCTTTGGATTCTTACCTATTACAATACGTCACACTTTGCACCTGAGGTAAGACTTCTTGCAGGTCTTTCTCGATGGTCTTGGTTCCCAAATTGATCAAGATTTATTATTTACCAATGTCATTAAGTACGGATATCCCCATCTCGTAAATTCTAAATCCCTAATATGAATAGTTTGTATGAATATTTTGCGTCGGAAAGATATATTGCATATGCTTCCCAAAAGTGATCAGTTTTTGGTATCATCACACTACCTGCATGCACCAAACAATGTCCACATCTAGTTCTGATCCATGCCATCCCACCACTGCTTTATATTGGCCTTGATTGTCACATAATTTGTTGATTTATATTTTCAAAAGGTGATGACTGTTGTTTTCTTTTATTATGACTATTTCAAGCATATCTTAGGAGTAGTTTTTATAATAATACATGATTTTAGAGATTAATTGAAAATGTTGAAACATATCGTTAGTTATGAGATGGTTGT